GACGGGCCGGGGAACATCTGCTGTTCCCACCAGCTTCCTCACCAAATCCTACCTTCGCACTCACGTCCTGGCCAAATCCGTGACCATGCACAGCCCTGCTCTGTTGTCAGCACCTTCCTCAGTGCCTAGAGGTCAGCCCTCCTCTCCTGCATCAGGGACAGCCCGTGGCAGACCTCTTTCTCTCTTCTCACGCTCAATGTGTCTCTGTTTTGTTGAAAGCACTGATTCCAGTTTGGGCTCTGAAATTCTGCCTAAACTGCAAAATATTCTGTAATTTTTGTGTTAATAAACCAATAATTATTCCTGTAACAGCAGCTGCATTGGTTTTTATTGCTGATGCTTGCCCGCTTTGTCACAAATACGGTGCAGAACCCCTTTAGAAATGGGAGATGGAGAGGAAACCCATGAGCAGCAAGAGACAACTCTGGGGTGTCCAGCCCGGCTCCTGCCCGCAGGTGTCCATCCGCAGCCAACGCAGCATCTCCTTTCATGAGCAACCCTTTAAGAGAGGTCCAATGTGCAATCTTCATTTAAAGCTGCAAGGGAGGAGTTGAGATCATTAAAAAGATTTTTTCTCTTTTTTTTTTTTTTTTATTTTTCCATTTTCCTAAGCTGATAAAGTTACGAGAGTTGTATGCTTGAGGTACACCGGAGGACACTAGTGAGCTGTTCTCTGCCTCTGCAGGAATCATTATTGGGGTAGAAAGTGTCAAATTGGGAAATCCCAAATGCTGCTGTTGCAATTAGTGTCGTGGTGACATCGACTGCCGTTCCAGCAATGTGAGCAGGCTGCTGTGTGGTAAGACAGCCGCTGACTTCATACAGTTCTCATCTGCAGAGATAAGGCAGATAGAAAGCCAGGGGAGGAAAGAGGAGGACCTTTTTGTGGGATACACTGTGCTACACTATCAACACTGCGAGCCCAGTCACTGGTGAACCCCATTAACAGAAGGTCATATCAAACATAAGGTTTTGTCCGATTTTAATTTTAAATACACAAAAGGTGCCCATAATAAATAGTAGAGACAATACAAATAATAATACAAATAGCTTCGGTCATCTCTCACTCTGAGCACGTCACCAACCCACTGCAAATGTCACACCAAAGGTGCCCTCAGAACAGCTGTAATTGAGAAGGTGGAAAAACCAGGCCAGTGAACTGTGCAAAGAGCCCCTCTGCTGCATCGCTCGTACCCCCTCTAACCAGAGCTGTATCCACAGCTAAGGCCAAGCCCCCCACTAGTCCCTTCTGTGTCCTCTCCACTTACCTCTGTGCCAGCACATCCAGCCACCATCAATAAAACCTGTCTGCCGTGGGGTGCTCACTTAGCCAAGCAGCCTCGAGAAGACACATCCATCAGCCAGCTTCACCTCTGATCTCTATACCTCATGGTCCTCCAAGCACCTAAGCCACAAATTAGTTTCTATGAGCAAAACCTCCAGGTTGTCCTGAAGCAACTGCTGTGATTTGGTAATATCCCATTTCAGAAGAAACAGTAAAAGAAAGAAATCACCTATGTGCATGGGTAACACGAAGGACATGACTGCATCATCCAGCTTCACCCTGAATTCAGTCACAACTTTGTTAAGCCTGAGTACACAAAAAAAACCCCAAAAGATTCCCACCCTGCCATGGATTTGCACCCATAGCTTGCGAGGAGAAAAACTTGGGTCACTCCATATCCTGGAATAAGTCAAAGGAAAGCAATTTTTTATCTCCTCCTGATGAGGCTGTGGTCCAGGAGAAAAGCAGTAAATGCACTTGGCTCAAAGTTGCTCAGTCACAACATCTAGTGATATGGCAAGCAATAAGTTGATAAAAGCCAGTTTCTTCAGTTGTGTTCAATCATATTTTAAGGTCACTGGGTAAAAGCTCATCGTGTGAAAGGTGCAAACTCACCTCGCCTCAGTTACTAAACCGGGGCTGTTCCAGCTACAGCAGTTGAGGAGCTACGAGTCAGGGGTGATGCCAATATTCCCATGAAATCCACAGTCATCCTTGCATGCTGAACAGACCCAGCGCGGTGGAGCTCAGCATAGCAGAACCGTGCAAAGACCTGTCACAGCAACAGCAGGAGTGCTATGGGTGAAGCACGAATGGAAATGGCTGTGTATGAAAGCGCTAGAAGGAATGACGTACAGCAAAGATTGTAAAAATGGCCCCTATCAGTGACGAAGGACACAAGTGACAGCAGTAAAACTGGTGAACCCTGATGAAAGCGTTGTTTATATCAAGGCAGGTGGCACCGGTGCCAAGAAGGCCACAGTGCAGATGGCTCACCAGCAGAAGACCTGTGCTCTGGTGGTAGGAGGATGGAGCAAGGTTGCATCACCTTGTACCTGCCATTTCTCTCCCTGGCTTTAATGGTTTGTAACCCCTTAATTTACCATTTCAAATGAGACCTGAGCTATAGATTGGCACCCGATGAACTGAAGTAGTACAGAACCTACAGGAAAGATGAGGTGCCAATCAAGCTCCTTTCGTCTCTCCTCCTGTGCTGAGACCTGAAGCAGTTTGTGATCAGACCCAGACCACCACAGCCAGAGACTGAATGAACAAAAACGGCCACAAATGAAGCTGACCCTGGGCTGTGACCCACCAGAAACTCCTTTGCTTCTTATGCCCACAGAAAATCTACCCATGGGAACTATTTTATGAGGCCATGAAAACACACAGACACCCCACTGGTGGGAACAGAAGTAATTTACAAGTGCAATTTAAAATTCACACCCAGAGTTTGCAAATAACAGAGGATTTAAAGCTAAAGAAAGGCTTAGTGGCACCAGATATCTGCATTCAGTGCTTAAGTTTGACGTGCAGGGCTGCGCAGAGTGCAAGCCGACGATGTGAGAGGACAACCTTTTGCTGTTATCATCACCTTGAGAAAGCAGCCGGAGAGCATCTGCCAGACCAGGCAGTCCATGCATCCTCAGCGCCAGGAGCCATCGGCAGTGCTGGAAGCATCCCTGAGCCTCGTCCCTCCTGCACGCACCTTCATGAGTCCATCCTGCTTATTGAGAGCACTATGGCTGCTTGGAAAGGGTTTGCAGGAAGACCTACTATTTTTTAGGCAAAAGACTTGAAAATCTGTGATATTGAATTGATAATTTTAAAAATGAATAACTTAAACAATTTTTAAAAAAATTCATTTAAAAAAATAAAACTTACAGCAACTTCTCATGGAAGAGCATGAACGGAGCTTGGGAAAGTGAGGAGCTCAGAGGGCAACCTGAACCATTGGGGTTACCCCACTTCCTTAGCTGGTCTGGGTGGGTAAGCAGGGATTTCAAAATATGGCAGATTATTTTATACGCTGTACCATCTGGCGAAAAAGCACATGAAAAAACAAGCATCAGACTTCAGTCTAACCCAATTATTATTTTCTGGGCTCAAAAGCAGAAGAGATTCAAAATGCCATTTCTCTTTTCAAACTTCTTCTTCCTTTGAAAACCAGGACTTTTGGAAGGTAAAGTCTCCCAGGAAGAAAAATATTTTCTTGAGAAAAAATCAGAAACTTGTTGAACGCCATATTATAATCTGAATGGTGATGCTACTCCCTTCCTTTGTAATGAATTCCACCAAAAGAACAAATCTGAACTTATAATGAGAAATACGTATTTTGAAAATACATTCAAGCTTATACGTAAAAGCAGTCCTTGTCAAATGGCAGCTCAATCAGCATGCAGTCTTAGCTGTTGCTCTCATTTATATACATAAGGATCAGGACTCTATAAAGTAAAATGAAAATGGGATTTCTCAGTAAATGTGTTTTTCCATGTGCTTTCTCATCTCTATTCCCTGCCTTTCAGCAATGTTGGCTTTCCACCTATGCAAGGAAAACTGAATTGCAGTTCAACTTATTTTCGCTTCCAAGTTAATCCAGTTTATTTCAGCCTGAGCCAGCTTCTCTCAAAGAAGCAAGAACGTCAGCATAATGGTACGGCAGCTGCTTTGTAGGGGATGCTCACTGCGGCTGGAGCCGCAGCGCCGGGGCAGCCCGGGCAAACATGGTCCAGCTGCTTGTCCCCTCTTCAAACGCGAGGTGCAGCTCTCGAGTTGAAATTAGAGATATCCCTGCAATGGAGAGAGAAAGAGTACGCTGCTTAAAATGAAAAAATGTTATAAAACTGTGAGACACCGCAAGCTCTTTGAAGGGTGGTGGTACCAGAATACAAAATTCTCTTGACAAATTGAAAAACTGCTGAAGTGAACGGGATGCGAGTCCATAAGTGCAAGCCCAAAGCACAAGAGCAGGCACAGCCATTGCACAGAACCAAGAGCAAAAATGACTGATAGGCAGCAATCTCTCCAAAAGGTATTTTGTAGATATAGAGGCTGACAAAGATAATACGAATCAATAATATCCTGCTGTTGTAATCAAAGCAAACATCATACCTGGACACACAAATACAAATATTTCTCAAAAAATTTTCGCTTGCCTCTCCTTTCACTAGATGAAATGAGACAGTGTCCTTCAACCCTAAATATAAAGGCAACTGCATTTACTCCAAAATGTACCTTGCCTACATATTCTAAAGTGTAAAATGAGAAAATTTTTAATCAAAATAGCTGAAGTCACTAGAAGTAAATGACATGCATCTCTATATTGGATTCAATTTTCTTTTAAAGATAAGATTTGAAAAAAATACCATCTAAAAAAGAGTGGATGAACCTTGACATGCAAATGGGAAAGATTAAAGCAAGGATATCTGATGAGCCAGAGCACAAGGCTGAAATCATGGTGTACA